TGAAGGTATCTTAGTTTTATCATTTCTTCTAAATCATCATCTATTCTGTAGCAAAGGTAAACAGTTTAAAAAAGGTTATGGCACAGTATCAGGCCCTTTTGTAATGTATTGCACGAGCGTGTATATTAATAGAACACATGGCAACTCCTAGAAACACATGCTTTACAGTAAACAAATCACAAGCTCTATTATTATAGAGCCAACCACTAGGGGGCTGAGCTTTACTCATTCTACCGTAAAATTCTGATGTGTATTATTTAACCTCATAACAATTCCTGCTAACTACTTAAAAATCGCCTTGTTTATCATGCTGTTGAAAAAAATCACCTCTTTGAGGGAGGTCATCATTTTAAATAGCACAATGCCAGCACATCTCAGGAGACACAATTTCAACAATTAACAATTAACCATAATCACGGTGATTTCGAATGAATTAGAATGAATTATTGTTCAAATTAGAAATTTAGGAGCAAAATACATTTTTCATCTCCTCACACAAAAAAATCAAAACTGTGTTGCAGCTACAAAAAGACATTTATGGAAACAGAGGACTGCTGGCTGTTAAACAGACATACTCCTCTGTAGAAAGCAAATATTCTAAAATACTTTTCATCCAGAATATTTTTAATATGTAGTATACTGGATTTATAGTTTTACCCCTTGTAGCTGGAATATGTACTGTAGTGTACATAATTTAATAGTGTTTAATACTAACAAACACTTTTTTAATCAGAGACACATATTGCTAAAGAATACGATAGGAGTTGATTGGACTTTGTGTCATTATGATAACAGCTGGCTAACCAACCTGTTTCCCTCTTTATTGTGGGAATGTTATTTACAGTACCTGGGAGTGCACAGAATTTGCCACTGGTGACTGTGGCGGTCTTGTGTATTACTGTATCTGCTATCACTTACAGGAAACAGCTCAGTAAGCACAGAGTGCTGGCTGTTTACACAGCATAACGGTGACAAACGACAGTGAAACTGTCATTCAAAATAATGAGGTGCATTTTACAATGCTACTATTGCACAGGATCAGAAAAAATATAATATAAACAAGAAAAAGTTACAGCAAAATCTGCTCTTGAGAGGTGGCTTTTACTTCTACTGTCTATTAAAGCTGTTCTCTTTCTCAGACAATGTTCAGATTTAGGCAGAATACAACTGAACTTAGGTGGCAAATGTGAAAAACATGTTCAGCAGTTCACTTTTTATCTTATGTAGTGCAAATTACACTTGCTTAACAATGCAAAGCTTTCCAGTAAAAGTACACATTTGAAAAAGTGTCTTGAATCAGCTTTTACATTTGGGATGGACAAAAAAAATGTAATGTATCATTCAAAAAAAGCATCTGTCCTTCTGTAATTACAATTATATTTTGTATATGCCCAGTATATCATTTATATTTATATACATTATATGATATACTGTACAGCATAATAAAGCTTAAATGCTTAAATCTGTTTCCCAATTGATACATTCTTCACAGCTCCTATGCTAGTTACTCACATACTTGAAATCATTTGGAATTTTCCTGTATCTTGGTGGTGGTTGCTAATGCCATCACATTGTATTTGATTGAGTAGAAAAGGATCTTAGCCCAAACAAATGGCAGTGATTCCAGCAACTGACCTGCTCTCAAAAAGGCAAACAATGCTTTTATGATACTACAGGTCAACAGACTTGGTAAAGTACTGTAGAAATAAGAGGTTTGAGTAGGGAGCTGCTTCTTCATACGTTGGCTCTAAAGGAACAGGTAAAGGTTCATTCCGTGCTGAATGGTAAAGAAAAGAAACATAACGTTGCACCAGAGCCTTCTTCAGGTGAGTGAGAGAGGGAACACTGCAAAGAAATAGGCATAGGAGAACAAAAGAAAGAGTAGATGAGAAGGCACAAGGAAATGGAAGTAGAGCAGGTGAGAATGAGTGTCCAAACTAAGAGAGAATGGGATAAGAGGTGCAGAATGGCAAATATTATGTAGAAATAATATAATCATGCAATGTGATAAAATCAGAATTTTGTGCTCACCTGATGTTACAAGTCTTAATTATACATGTAAAGGGTACATGATCTATTGTCTATTGAACAAAGTTTACAGAAGCGTTTTTAAATAAAATGCTTAGAACCTTTAGAAAGCACTTCCTTTAGAGAACTGTTCTTTTGGTCAGGAAAACCTTCATTAAATAATTAACCTTTTCAATACAAAGGATGGTATTTTGCGGTTTCAATGTGAAAAAAAGACACAGAGAAGAAGTAGAAGAAAAGGAACTGAGAATAGCTTCTAGATGGTTAGATGGATTCTGAGTTCATATATTATTACAATGTTTCATAAAAATATTTGGGCTTGCTTTTAATCTCTTGCTGTATTTTAGAACCATGTATGATACCCCCTTTTGAACTGGTCTGTATGTGGATTAATTTTTAAACGCTATAGATATACATTTTCAACAGAGTGTGGTTGGCCCTTATGTGTTTTATACTGGCATCTGGAATAATGAATTAACCGTACTTAGCATGAGCATGTTACTACTGTATACAGTACAGGTATGTGCACGATTCAGTTCCTTTACATTTCAAAATAGGAATGTCTCTGGCTGCAACAATCCATAATCCTTAAAATAACTTCACATGGCCTTTATCCATCATAATCTATTGATGACACTTTACCATAAGAGGGTATGGTATGTATTTAATCGGGCTATTGAATGCACTCCTAACAAAGGTTCATGGGTAGGAGCAAACTCACCATCCCATCAGAAATGTTCATTTCTATACAATTGCCAGCTGTGCTTTCTTTTGATGGTTGACTTTTCAAATACTTAATCTATAAAAGACCAAACTGATATAGATGGCGGCTGGATTAAAAAATATATATATATATTATTTTGCACTGTTAGATTTATGGAACAGTTTCACAACATACGATGTTGAAAGGTACAATATAATTCAGACTGAACATATAATTAAAGTAATATTTGCACATGCGTTTTCTGTGAGAACTGGGGTACGGATAGGGCAATGGGGTACAGCGAAAGGACAGAAACGTTATTACTATAAGGTTGATAATACACATTCTTTGACATGCGCAGTTAATAAGCCTTCGCTTACTAGCCTGCGCATGTCCGTTTCACCTTGCCGTCTATTATATGAGGTTCACATAATAATAGGTTTCCTTTATTTCCCAGCATTTCCTTGAATCGCTTCAGTTCAGAAAATTGTGAACAATTCCTCTCGACGTGTAACTTTAAGAACATGTAGCCATGTACAGTAGCCTAACTGACAGCGTGCTGGTAGCCTATTAATAGCTTCCAAATCCACATCCACCTATTAGATACAAAGGGGGGCGGTTTTTAAACGCCAATAAGATTCTCCATCTCTTTTTGCAGCGGTAATTGGCAATCTGCTCTACATTACTGGGAAAACCCAAAGCGTTACTGAAAATTTCCAAAGGAAAATACCAGGACTTCCATGCTGTATCTAATCCTCTGTATCTGCCTAAAAAAATCCAGAGATTAGGAATCTCATTTTACAATAAAACTAAATCATTTTTTAAAGTTACGGCAAAAACTGAATGTAACGGAGAATGTATTCATAACCAGAACACCTCGCATTTGGCAGAGATTGTAAAATATTATTATTTGTTACGCTAAAAAGGGCATGTAGAGAGGAAAGAAAAAAACACATCTGAATTATTTACAAATGTCCATAACTCTTTAATACAAGACCAAGAGATCAGTTGAATGCAAAAAAATCATAAAAAAGGAATCATCCGCCAAAAATTTCATTCTGGGATATGAAGCCTACTGTAGAAAGAACTTATTTGATCTAAATTTTAGGAATAGAAATCTATGACTCTGCAGAATGCGACTGCAAATTATAGCTCGGAATGCATTATTGATGAGAAATATGCAGGTGTTAATGTATGATTTTAAATGCCTAAGACTACGATGTATTTTTTTCCTTTTCTCTCTCGTGCTATCGACGTGTAAATGCATTTTAAAATAGTATTTACAATTTGGAAAGAAAACCGGGTTTGCCATGTAAGTAGAATATTTACCATTGCAAAAATATTCAGTTTTTTACGTTCACCGACTGTGCCACAACAGAACAGTCCTAGGATGCATTATTGACAATTGTCTTGCTCCATACTTCCATCTGTTGGCATAAAATGTCATCACACCGTTTCCTGGAAAAGCCTGCTTTACTGTTTTGACTGTGGTTTTAAAGAAAGGCATAACCGAGGCTCATGTGACTTCTGCTGACGGCATTCTTAGAATGTTTTGAACTAACCATTGCTTTACCTCAGCTGAACGCTGTGCTCCACTTCGGCGCACAGTGTATGGAGCCTGATGTGGGTAGAACTGAGGTTTTGGAGATGCAGGTAACAGAGAGGATTTGTGGGGGTATACAATAGGTGGGTGTACAATAGGAGAGTAGCTAGACTAATATGAATTGTGAGGAATGCCCTTGAGTGTAAACGATTGAATTGTCAAGGTAATGTAAAAACTAAAAAGAAGAGAAGTTTTTCATCCGCCATCCATCAATCATTTTGCTATTCATTTACTCTGCAATTGAATTCAGTGAACCACTGCCTTAGGTATCGTGTCCACTACATAACAGAACATACACAATTCTATTATAATTATTTATATATGAAGTGCTTAATTTTCCCTTTGTTGCATTTAAAGAATAACTGCTGTAATTACAAAATGTTCTGGTTTGGCCTTTTCAATTTAAGTTCACATACAGTTTTGTGGTATAGTATGTGTACGTGCAATCGCGTATAATAGGGAGGTTTTGGTGTTTATTCTCTACTTGCACTATGAAACGTACTTCCCCTTCTCACGCCGGCCTTAGCTTCACAACGGTATGATTTCTCGGAAATCAGGCTGCCTTCGCCTTTTCGCAGCCACCCAATAGTCTGTAAAACACAGCGCAGCCGCGAGTCTGTGCCAAAAGCGTCCTCCCTTTTTAAATAAATTCTGATATCACCGGGAAATCCCGGATTGTACTTTATAGTCTCAGAGCTCTTCGTGCAGTTCTCACAGTAGCGTTCAAACACTGAGCACAGTGGATAGTCTTAGACAGTGGATTAACTTCATACAGTTTGGGAAGCCAATTGTCACACATTGCAACTGTAAGTTCTATTATATTTCATACAGATATACTGTTTGCTTTTTAGGTGCGTTATTATTCGTTTATTGCATTTCGTTTTTTAAGTAGTTGTTGTTATCATCAAACTGGATAACGATCACCCTAAAAAATATTATTTGACATTCGGTGCATGTCTGCGTGTACGAGATTGAAGCACCCTGTAGTGTGCGTTTATTTTTAAATTTTAAATTTTGAAATTTTAATATTTCTATTTCAAATTTTTAAACTAATTATAATATTGTTTGTTTTTTAGAGTGTATATAGTGTGTGGAATATAGACATGCTTATGTACACCATACTGTAGATACATGTTAAAGATAAACTATTTTTTGCATAAAAGGCAACACCATGTACACATCTGCACGTGTATTGTTTTAATGGATATTTTATAATTATGTTTCGCGGGTGTAATCGAACATTAAAACAACAGAGTTACTGTAACGCTGAAGTTCAACGCTCTATCAATTAGTTACAAATAACAACTATTATAAAACATTGGTTAAGGTAAGAGCTTGCAGCTAGAAGCTAGTTTTTAGCCTATGCATATCTATTTAGCTTAGTTGGAACAGCTCTTTCATGAGTTATGATCTGGAGGTTCGGTACTGTAGATAACCTCTAAACTTAAGTTCACGGTGCTTGCCATCTCATAAAACTTGCTTTAGCAACGCCCCATGCAGGGCGACTGTAGAACTTAAGTCGCATGGGTCTGCCTGCTGACAGTTTAACAATCTTTAAATGTGTTAATAAAATAGCGGGTGCTTTGCAGAAGAACCGTATTTTGAGTTTGTATACTTGACACTTCTGCACACTTGACGTTCTATATAGAAAGTTGCATTAACAAACCCACCGCAAAATATCGATTATTTTCCCATAAAAGGCGCACATACTGCACACCACGAATGGTACCGTGGATGAGTCTTTGCAGTGTTATAAATTCATCTGTTCCTTCACAGGATTCACTGCGTACGGCACATTTCCTTTTGTTGAAGCGCGAAATGTGTTAAAATACGCCTAGTAGGGGTCTAATATGACGTGAGATACAACAGTACGTTAGAGTGAACGGTTAAAGCCTTGAATAAACAATACTGCACATAGGATACAAGCAAAAACAATTTTCTCAATACCTTATAAAGAAATACAGATCTTAGTAAGGATCACTAACCGGTACTTCCTTGTTCGTACATGATCGTTGATCTCGGCTATCGTTTGCATATTTTGTTAATTTAACAACTATAAGCACGTGACTTCTTTATTTCCTTGTAGACTGAGTGCTATAAGGTCAGTGCTTGTTTTTTTACGACGCAGTCTGCAGAATAATCGGTCAGTGTTCAGCTGCTAACAACACAACAACGAAAACATTGAAGTTCCTAAAACAAAATAATTTATTCTCGACCCTACACACTTTATTTACAGCCAGCATGCCTGTTTCAAGAATGAGAATGAGACCCTGGCTGGAAGCCAAAATTGACTCCAATGCCATCAATGGATTAATCTGGATAAACAAGGTATAATGTCGCCTTAAAACATTGTTTTTTTCTCCCTCATTTTGCAGTTGAAGTAAAAGGGAATCCATCAAATGTGATAATTACAATTTGTTGCTGAGTCTCTCAACTCAAGTGATACGGCATACAGTTCTGCCACAACAAATACAATCTAAAATATTTTTCAGTAAAAAAAAATTGATTAGATCAGGCTAAATGTGCACCCACAAATACATTCTAATGAACCACTGATAAAATATTTTTTATGCTTTTCAGAAATGTTAGTTTGAATAAGTAGAAAAAGTACAGGTGCTTAAGCCTTATGTACCAGTAATGTACCCCTTGATGCTATACTAATATGTAAATTGCTGGTTTTAAGGAGAAGAAGATCTTCCAGATTCCTTGGAAACATGCTGCTAGACACGGATGGGATCTCGACAAAGATGCCTGTCTTTTCAAACAGTGGGCCATACACACAGGTAAGCAGGGATTATTGTGACACGATTCCAAAATGCTACCTGGCAAATATATAGACGTATATTAACTGGGACTGTGTGGTGAAATAGGAAAAAGGAGTACAGAAATTGTTCTCAAGTAGTGCCTTCAAATGCAAGACAAAATCAAACTTTTGTAATAAGTGAATAATATTGTCAGTGGTAATAACATTAGAGGTGCAGACTCATTTTTCTCCACGTTTTACAGATTTGCCCTTTAAAAACCTCCCTCAATTTTCATATTTGTCTTTAGGAAAGTACAAACAAGGTGTACATGAGCCAGACCCAAAGACATGGAAAGCCAATTTCCGGTGCGCAATGAACTCGCTTCCAGACATCGAGGAAGTAAAAGACCAAAGTGTCAACAAAGGCTCCAGCGCTGTTCGTGTCTATAAAATGCTACCACCCATCTCCAAGAAAAGAGGTAAGAGTTTAAAAATGTGCACAAATTCTTAAAGAAATATGTTTTACACTTTGAGTATATCTTTTCCAAACTCTTCTATTACTAGATATTTACTACTTTACATAAAGAGCAGATGCACAATACATTTAAAACTTGAGGAAAATTGAAAAATTGGAATTAAAAGGCACTTTTCACAAGCTCCTGATTTCAGAAAATGACTTAAAAGTATCCTTCATACATTCATCTATTGCAACTTACTGTAAGTGAATGTGGTATAAAAACACATGATAGTTACCCAGACAAACCTTTTGTAACCTTCTATTCTGCTTTCTCCACAGATAAGAAGTCATGTACGAAAGAAACCAAAAACAGAAACAGAAACAAGGTAACATTCAGTTTATATATATAATTAATTGTGGTATTTAATGTAATATGTATGAAAAGTGATTAGAAAGAGCAAAAAACATTTTGTAAAGTTAGGAGAATGGCTTTAGGGCCATGCATATACTGTATGGTCCTTTTTACTACGTTCTAAGCATCCAGTGAGCTGTTTAAAACAATAGTCTGAAAATCTACCATTTTGTGAACTGAAACGTGGGTTTCTCTTTTCGTCTGCTTTATGTCATAAGAGGAAATTCGACTGCAGTGTGTGGCTTACTACCTCACGCTCGATAACAAACAACAGAGGTTTTTTTTACTGTTGTACCATAGATATTATTAAATCAGGCATGCAGACCAGGATGTTACTGTAGGAAAACATTTTTTAGAAAACTTTGAAAAAAAAGGTATTCTATACACTTCACAATTGAAAAACAATATTAGTAGGCTGTTCAAAATCACACAATCACTAAAGTGTGCTTAAATAATCTCAATGGTAGAAGGCTAATATATTTAAACCTGTGTACCATCTGTTCTATATAGAATGTAAAACTAATAAAAGTATAAGTATTTAAAAAGTTAATCTGTGCAGTACCAGTATTGTTGAAATCATGAAAACATTTCAGTTGTAATTTCAAACGATAGCACTTACAGAATTGCATTCTAAAAGTGCAACTATCGTAGCAGTAGCAATAAATAGTAGTACTCTTTGTAAATTGATCTCTGTAAAAGTTTAATTGATTTTATACATCCATAAAGAGGAATACCAAAATAAATTGATGCATGCTTTTAATTGTATTTTTTAACATCCTGCCATTTGATGCTGACCATTCTGAATCTTTTTTTTTTCAGGGAACGCTACCAAAGGTAAAAGCTGAAGATTCAGACTACAGAGAACCACACCTTCCAGATGACCATAGCACATACACAGCTCAGGAAGAACATTCAAGTGAAGAGGTAGACAGCACCGAAAATGATTTAGGTAAGCGTTAAACTTTTAATTGTTGCTTTCCTGTTATTTTATCCCCTCAGATCAGAAGTCAACCACAAATATTGATTTGAGTTTAAATGAGGGTGCTGTAACCACAATGCCATCATAGGGTTTGGTTATTGTTAAGTAGGACGTCATATGGGTTCAGCATAAATGCTAATAACTAAGGCCTTTGTACAAAAGGGTCACTCTCAGAGCACTCTAATAACGTGCATATCATTTTTTGATGAAACACCAATTTTTCCTTTCTTAACTGTATCACATTTTGTGAAGAAATCAAGAAAACATTTTCTTTTTTTCTTGCAGATTTCACAGATTCACAATTTCAGGAAGACACGATGGTGGTACCTTCGGATTGGACGAATACTGTGGAGATATCAACAGCTGACAGCACAAATGAAATCTATCAGTTCCAAGTGTCACCCATACATTCGCCAGGTAGGTGTCAGAAGGACTTCCTCTAGAGACTGCCTCTAAAATCATTTCATGCTTTCATCATAAGGCTTTGAAGGTCTTTCCCTGGGATTCAAATATTTCTGTAGTTATTACATCATAAAACACTTTATACTCTCATAGCGAAACTTTGAGCTGTGCAATTTCTCAAACTTCTCATGGTGTGGATGTTTCTCTTTAAGACTCATCATTTTTAACTTCTTTTTTTTCAGAACTGGAAAGTCTTCAGGAAGTCATTCAGGTGGGTGCATCTTTGTTTGTATTTGTTGTTTTAAATTTTGATATCAACAGTCAGTATATTTGTGATGGATTCATGCATTTGATTTAATGTGCCTGATTGCTGAGAAAACAATTGAACATATTCTGTGTATATAGTATAGTATATATTTAGTAAAAAAAAACAGCAACAAAACAGCAAGTTTCATTTCCGTTTTTTGCTCTTTCAGATGGCACAAGAATTGGAACAAGATCAGTCTCAGTGGCAACAAAGCAATATAAATGGCAAAGGTTTCCTGAGCAATGCAGTAGGCACATCAGAAACAGTTCACAATACCGAAAGCCACTGGAGCGATACTGCAGGTAATAAATGGTCTCCCCTATGTAAAATCAAGCAGCAGTGGACAGAATCTATCTTCATAGAAGGCTCTGCTATGTGAATATTAGTGTTTTTGTGCTCCAGTAAAAAAAACAGATGCTGTTGTGTTGTTGCTCAGAGGAAAACAGTGCATGCTGGTAGTTTGAAATTTGGTGCAAATGTTTGCCCTTGTATTTGCAAAGTTGCACTTCTTTAGTGTTACATATGATGCTCCTTTTAAAAAATAACCATGCAGCATAAATACTCTAATACTCAAGAACTAGTGCATGTTTCTGTGCTGCACATGCATTCTAGATGTAGAAATTCAGCATACAGTTGGCTGAATCAAAAGATGAAAATCCAATAGCAAGATTTTGAGATGAACATTTGCAAAAAGCACTGAAAGAAAAAAAATGTAAATGAGCTTGCTGTCAACCAAAAAAGAGCAAGATGAAAAACTAGCAGGCGTAGGTGTCTCAAAGACCTGTCCTAGGAGGGTTTGCTCTAGAAATGTCAGATAAACTCTGTCCTGAAATTTCTAAACAGATCCCATTTTGTCTTTTCTTCCAGAAGTCGAATTAAGATTTTACACTGAACTGAAAGGAGGAGTAAACTTGGATCTTGTGAGCTACCTCGACCCTTGGACCTCAAACAGCACAGCAAACCTACAACAAATTGTCTGCCCTCTCTAGTTCCAGTTGTAAATAATCCCAGAACATAAAAGACTGTTTTTCAACTCGGGGGACTTCAATTAATATTTTTGGACATTGTCTCTGTTATTCAGTTGATTGCCTTTGAGGACTAAAGAAGGATTATTTTGGCAAAAGGAATAGGACCACAAAAAATGTTTCTAATTCAGTGTTTTCCTTTTGTGAAAATTTGTTGCACTCAGACAAAGCACAGAGGTGCTTTGACTTCTCTTCCCTGATTTAACCTATGATGATGGCACAAGATGTTTTGCTATAACAGGTGTTGTGAGAAAAATTATGCTGTGAGTTATTATAGTGAATCTAAAAGGGCAGTTAAGTGGGACATATTTAAATGCATGCACTTTACCACCATTACATTGTGCCTTTTATAGATACAGTACTTCTTGTTAGAATTGTCTTAAACTTGACAAAGGTCTTTTAACTGGAAAAAAATAAACTATTGTCCAACTTCACTTTCTATACAAAAAAAAACAAAAGCAAACTGCTGTTCCGTTATTTGCATTGTCCTTTAGTTTTGTAAACAATATTTGTGTATTCCAAGAGCAACAGGACTGTACAGCATCCACTTATGACATTCTTACATGCAGAAATGTATTGTCAGCTATGTACAAATGTAAATATTGTAAATTATATTTGGTTTTGTTAAAAAAATAAAAAAGGTTTTTTCAAATTGCTTTGTTTCTTGAAAACTTGCTTGTTTTGGTTTATGGCTGGAGCCTGGATAGCAGTGCGTGTGTATCTTAGACGTTTTAACATACTACTGAAGAATGTACAGTATTCCATTATATACTGTGTTACTTATATATGGTATAATATATATTATTCTCTAAACATTGTTAAACATTACTATATGCGTTAGGTCTTCAGTCCTAGTACAGTATGTGCAACTTAACAGTAAAACCAAGTTTTAGAAGTTTCTTCACAAAGGTTTTGGGTTCAGAGGTGTTCATATCTCTTGGCACATTGCAAAATCAGTTTATTGGAGATTCAGCACCAATTTGCGAAGTGGAGCCTTCCAGTTGACCAGCAAGGCACAGTGAAGTGTTTGTTGTTAGCATTGAGAGAGTCCTGGTCAGTCAACCCCAATCCCGCCCACAGCAGATCTGATATACTGTAAGTGTCCACTGCCGCACAAGAAATTCTAGTGAGTAAGACAATTATTTAACATAAGCAGAAATTTCGGGGGAAATCATTTTAATAGAGATTAGAAATTGCTATCCTATGAAACAGTATCTAAAAAAGTGCAGTACTCATGCAGCTTGTTAGTAATTTTCAAAAAAGTAATCCTTTATGTAATCACTTGCAACTACTTTTTGTTACAGTCTGGTCCAAATGTTGCCATAGCGGTGTGAATCTGCTGAGGGAGACCACATACAGTACGTAGGGTGAGGGTAAATTAAGTGTCACAACATGCCAAGTTGATCAATTTTTATTATGATTGTATTCTCTTTCTGGATTTAAAACCCCCCATTCTCTTTCTCTTTCTTTAAATTACTGTCTTTTAATTCTGCTCTTTTTAAAGAAGTTTGTTCAACATCAACATACCGTATGTTTTGTCTCTAATACTAAAGAATGTGTGTTTCCTGAATGTTTGGACAGTAACTGTTTAAGCCTTTATACTGTATTTACCCCCATTAAAACAATGGGTGAAATAAAGGAAGATAATAATAAATTCAGTCAAACCCTTCAAGGTTTATAAAGAAAGTATTGATCACAAGTTAGTCAGTAATCACTAGAATTTGAAATATGTGTTCTACTGAGTATAATGTATATATAAAGCACTTGCTAAACAATCATAACCCTCACAAACAGTTTATATACAAAATAATTATATATATATTTACTAAAATTGTTACACAAATCAGAAGTCTACAAACTCTTTAGTTCACACAGAGAATGTGTGAATCTACAATGTAATGTATTGATCTCATTTTTAAATAATTGACAAAAATAGGAAAAAACAGGATAACACAGAACATTTTATTAAATGTATTTATTTTTTTGAAAGACAAAGAACTGGCTACAAAATATCATCATATGTATCAATTGATTTTTTATCATAATAATATATGCATGAACAGTTATTATTTTAACTCTTTCTCTAATGTCTGTTGAGAAACACAGCAATGCAAGACAATTTCTATTCCAATAAAGTTTAACCTATTTAACTATTCATTCATATTTTGAGAAAAGGTGTTGAAGTGAAACCTGACAACAAATGTGTTTAAAATTCAATAAGGTTTATAATCCAGTCTCATGAGTGGTATTTTAACTCAGTTCCTCAGTAGATCAAAAATTATCTCACTTGGATGGTTTATAATGCGATGGGATTATTTATTTGCTGTTTGTGGTAGATGAATTCAGCTGTATGTTAATGATAAGTCATGATTCACATACAATAAAGAATTAACTAAACTTTTAGCAAATTCCACTACAGACTCACATAGAGTAGTATATTGCTTTTTTCTCATCCCAAGGATAGAACAAGGAGATGGTAAGTATATTGCTCCAGATACCCCTGTTTGTTGCCTTGTTAAGGCTTAAACCTGAAAACGTAATTATTGTAAAAGCCCAGCCCCTTTTCTTGTAATTCTTTTAGACTACATAGCCTGTAAATATTTCATTTAATGAACATATAATTTTCACAATCTTTGCTGTGTTGATAAATTTGCTTTTGCACAATTCATAACTGGCGTTTTTGTAATTATGCTGTTTCCACCAGCCATTTGGATCCAGTTCAGAGGATATAACACCACTCAGGTTGGACTTCCCATGATCCAAATAGTATTAACAGTACATGATGCATAGCTGGAAAATTGAAACTTGAACGCTAATGGATTCAACTGTGGGTAGGGAGAAACCTTTTAAATCTATGGCATGTCAAAACACATACACATATGAAAGTATAACATCTCAATCAATAGTTATTTTTTATTATGAAAAGAAGGTGCATTACATATAAAATATATGTAACTGCAGCAGAAGCCCGAAATATGTGATTAACAAGTAAAAAGTATATTTTGAATTATGAGAATTAATATTAATTAGATCCTGCCTTTTCACAACATTAATAAGTGGGTCATACAGTATACAGTGTGCAACAGATACATACATACACTGAATAGAGCATAATAAAAGGACATTAGTCACTTTGAAACCCATTTCTTCTGTGCAAAAGCCTCTATTTCATGCATGTAATATGGATTTCTATTTAAAAATGTAAAATGAAGTGTGAAGCATTTTCATGCATAGACATGCTCACACTTTCTGTGTCCATGTGTTCAGCTACAATAAAATGTTTTGAAAAACAACCCAGGCGTTTGCTGTCTAGAAATGTACATTGATACATTGTGAATTCTTGGCAGAAAAAAAGTGTTTCTACTACACTTAATAATTTCTTAATAATAACTTAATAATAGCACAATGTATGAAATTTAACCAACCTTCAGAGCAATACAGCTCACCACTGTCTTGCACCGTAAGATATCATATTTACCATGAAGGGACTCCAAGCTTGAAAACCTGCCAAGGAAAACTCTTAAAAATACCTAACATCATTCTGAATAAATTACTTTAAAGCATTTTCTCACCCCGACACTTGAACCTGTGGAAGAGATCACAATGAAGAAGATTTATTCTCATGGGAAAGTCAAGGATGACATTTTACCCCTTTGATGGCACTGTTATTTATTAGTCTAATGAACAGTAAAAAAAATTGTTTGAAATGTTTGGTGGAAATCAAGGTTGTATTGTGATACAAAAATAAACAAGTTAAAAAAAGGTTTTTAAAAAGTTTCCTAAACTTTGGAAAGCTTTATGTATAGTATAAGGTATTCTATTTTCAAACTCAAAACATATTTTAGTTAAACCACACAAGTCTTTAATCCTTGGCATACTGTATGTGGAAGTAGAAAGGGTTCTTTCATTTGCTCTAAACTGAATGTAATTAATGCAGAAATTAATTATCACAGCTTTGATAAGATTAATTGTGTTACTTTATTTCTGGAACAGAAAAAAAACAATATTTACTATCAGTTCACTATACCACCCTGTCAGTCCGGTTAATTAAATTTTAGGAGATCATAAAAAATTATAAGAAAATAGTGATTTGGACTTATCTGTGACAGAAACAACATAAGATAAAACATATACTGTATATATACTGTATATACAACCTGCCGTGCAAAAGACATATTAGATGTAATCAGGAGTTATACAGTATACATACTGTATGTTATGAGCACCAAAACTTCCTCGAGTCCTTTCTTCTATTATAAGAACTTTACTCGGAATACAGTTAAGTTTGTGTCAGAAAAGACCAAGAAAAAACTTTAGTTCACACACTGAAGTGCGACGTCAGTGTGAAATGCATGCTAGAGTCGCATGTCCTTGTGCCTCATTTCTTTCCAAGCTGTACACAAGTCAGTGCCCGAGAACCGAGTCTGAAAACATTTGACATCTTGAACTTTGGTAGGTATGTAATAAAAAAATAAATGTCCATTACATTTAAAAACTGTAATTCATGGCATTGCATAGATAAAGTAGTGACCGGTAGTCCATCCATCAATTGTCTAACCACTTTATCCAGTACAAGGTGCCAGAAGCCAAAGCCTATCCCAGCCAGCAATGGACATGAGGCAGGATTCACCAGTCCATCACAAGGATCACACACTCACACCAGGGTCGGTTTATCCAGCAGCTAATTAACCTGCCCGTATGTTTTTGGACTGTGTGAGGAAATTGGAGCACCTGGAGGTTAACGATGCAAACAAGAAGAACATACCTCTACAGTCTCCACACAGATACTGTAGCACTCAAAGTCCAGAACTGAACACTGAGCTCTCCAAGGCAGCAATGCTAACCACTGCACCACTGGGCCACCCTTGCCACATTCCTATTTGTCTTAACTCTTCAGTTCTATCTAGTATGACTGAGCATGTGTATCACAACCTCCCCTTGATGTACAGCTGTTAAGGTGCCAGCTCTCAATTAAAAAGATCACTAAGCAGGGAGCTGCTGTGGGGAAGCACCAAAAATGTGCTAACCCCATTGAGGCAGCAATGCTAACCACTTTGCCAAAGTGCCACCCATGATCAGCAGTGCAAAATTAAGTTCTGTTGTTTACTTCCTTCCAAAGAAGCGGTTGAAAGTTGCATGGGTTTTTCTTAAGGGAGATCCGCAGGACAGGGGACAACCTTTGGACCTGGTTAATTGCATTTTAAAAACAAGATAAGCAGCAGAGAGAGGCTTAAAAAAAGGATAAAAAGATGTACAGTATAAAAGCAAAAACAAAACACCCTACAGTATTATCTAACTGTCTTATCCCCCATTTAATCAAAAGCTGCAGTTTAATTCAAATACTGTATATGGCTTTGTTTTTTCAGTTGGCAAGACTGCAACCATCATAGTGTTACACAGTCATGTGTCTAACCAAGATTTATTTAGCCTGTCATCCTGCGAGGCATTAAATTGTGAATACTGTAAATGCTCAAAAGAGGAACATTTATCAGAGAGAAATTCAAATACCTTAACATGATTACTAACTGCATTGATGTCATGTCAGATGTCCTGAGAAGTAAAACAAGAATGAAGCGTATATATACAGTACATACATTATTTTTGGGGAAGGAACAACCATAGCATACTACTTTAAAGAAGAATACACCATCCAAA